TAAACTGCTGGAGGGCAGGATGGGCCATACGAGATGATTCCTCGTGCCACGCCATCGCACACCAAGGGGCCACCTGAGTCTCCCAGTGGAGAGGAGAGAACAGGATGGCAGCTGGGGGAAGATTTGGATCCATGTCATGGCAAACTCTGGTGCTTGAGCCGGGGCAAACTGCCAGGTTTCTGCCTGTTGGATCTGTCAATTCTGAGTGGAGATCTTGGTGGGCATTTAATAATAATAATAATAATTTTTATTTATACTCCGCCCTCCCCAGCCAAAGCCGGGCTCAGGGCAGCTAACAAGCAATAATAAAAACAAGTTGAATGAATACAACTTAAAAACAAGATTAAAATACAACATTAAAATATTGAAACGTTAAAATATTAAAATGCAGTCTCACAGGAGGAGAAAGGAAAAGAAACAGGCGGAGGGAATAAAATTGGCTCCAAGCCAAAGGCCAGGCAGAACAACTGTAAGGGTCTTACAGGCCCTGCGGAAAGAAATCAGATCCTGCAGGGCCCTGGTCTCATGAGGCAGAGCGTTCCACCAGGCCGGAGCCATCACTGAGAAGGCCCTGGCTCTGATTGAAGCTAATCTAACTTCATTAGGGCCCGGGACCACTAGGGTGTTGCTATTTATGGACCTTAAGGTACTCAGTGGGGCATACCGGGAGAGGCGGTCCCGTTGGTACGAGGTACGAGATTTCCCCTAACATACACATTTTGGTAGGCAATGGCTTTCTAATCAAATGCATTTTTGTACCTGGGGGTTGGCATACATTGTATGAAGCCACTGGGTTGGTCAGGCCAGGCAGGGCTGAAGCTAGCTGCTCCGGAACCTAGAGCACTGGGGGTGGGGTGAGCCACCCATGGGGGCGCCACAGTGATCCATGGATGGGGGGCAGGATGATCTGCCAAGGGGGCACCACAGCGAGTTGCCCACGGAGTCTGCCTGGAGAGACGCGTGGCTTGGGCATGCTGCAGGTGTGTTATTTTGTCACACCCCATGGTGTGTTATTTTGTCACCCCTCAGGGATGACACCCAGGGCGGACCGTACCCCCTTCCTACGCCCCTGAGGCCAGGTATAAGTAGACTGGCATCTGCCCATGTCTGTTTTGCTGGACAGGAGAAGGATCCCTCAGAAGGGTGGGATCCATAACGAGAAAGGCATGTAGCTCTCCCCCTTCTGATCCTGTCACTTGCAGCTTCTGCTGACTCACCATGAAAACAGTCTCTGGCTTATTACACCCGTCAAATTAGCGAAAATGTATAAAGTTAATAATAAATGTTGGAAATGTAAAGAAAAAGAGGGAACATTTTATCACATGTGGTGGCAATGTAAAAAGGTGAAAAGCTTCTGGGAGATGATATATAATGAGATGAAAAAAATGTTGAAATATACATTTATAAGCATTTTTACTGGGCATTGTTGGGAGTGATATAAACAGAAAGGAATTTAAGCTCTTTTTATATGCAATAACAGCAGCAAGAATACTATTGGCCCCAAAATGGAAGCAAGAAGAATTACCGACGATCGAAGAATGGAGGATGAAGTTAATGGACTATGCAGAACTAGATAAAATTAACAGGAAGGATTTGAAACCGGCGGGACCAGAAATTCACGGAAGACTGGAGTAAATTTACGGACTATTTGAAAAGTATTTGTGAAGACCAGACGATGTTTGTAGGGTTGCAAGAAGTTTTGTGAGGAGTATTATTGGAAGTATTGCAAAAATGTATAAGGGGAAGGATGATTTGTTAAGAGATGTAAAGGCAATATAAAGTTAAGAAATGCATAAGAAGTGGTTATAACAGTGGATCATCAAAGGTGCTGATGGAAGTCTAAAAAGATTGTAAATGTGATACGTTTTGTGGTACATTTTATAATTTATATGTTAAAATAAAAAAAATATATTAAAAAAAGAAAACGAAAACAGTCTCTGGCTTGTCGGATCTTCCGGCACAGACCTTCCCATCATTGAGATTAGGATACGGCTTCCCATACTGTCAGAGTTGGCGACATTGGTCTCATAGAGTGTGTCTGGTGACCAGTCTTTGTAAACTGTTGGCTCATGTTCAGCTTGTGGTCCACCAAGACCCCTAGATCCTTTCCACATGGACTGCTAGTAAGCCAGGTATCCCCCATCCTATATTTGTGCATCTGAATCCAGTCGCTCATCAATCCGTGACATGTAAGACCATATGAATTCAGCGCAGAACCACCAGGACCTCAAGTCTCTTGATCATTTCACAAAACAGATGGAAAAGTCTTTGCACCTTTCAACCAAGCGACCACAGAAACCATTAGGAATCCAGTGTCCTGTCACAAAGTAAGGCAGCATACAAATTTAATTAATTAATTAAGAGGAGGAGGAAGAAGAAGAAGAAGAAGAAGAAGAAGAGGAAGAAATAAATAGTAACAGCCACTCGAGTGTATCAAAAGCTGGTCTCTGATTTTGTCTTAATGAATTACATTATCTTCGCTCCTCTGATTTCGTAAACCTTTGCTTAAAAAGTCTCCAATTCTGGGATCACTCCGTTTCTCATTTTCCCCAATCTCCCCATCTGACTATCTGATTGCCGTTCGTGGTGGGATCAACCACGTGGCTAGCGAGAAACGATAAGCCTGCCTATCAGATCTCAAGTCCAGATTGCGGCTTCCTGGGGAAGGTGGAGTCCAGAGGCTGGAGGTCATAAAAGCCACGGGGTCGAGAGGCTGAAGAGTTAAGCTCCAGGCATCTCCCTCCTTGGCAAGCATCAAGATGTGGAGACTCCGCCAGGTTCTTCTGCTACTGCTCCTCTCCTTCTCCTTCGCCCAAACAGGTGAGTAAAAGCACCATGGCAGATGATACACCATGGCGTTTCTTCTCCCTGAAATCCTACCAGCTGTCCATTCCTCCTCTGGTCACGACTTGACTGTCTGTCTCCAGGCACTGTCGTCATCTGCAAGGGATTCCCACATGGTAGGGTTGATGTCGCCAGTCTTCATGTTAGCAGACCCCTTTGTAATGCAGAGTTGGTCTGCCAATCATAATAATGACGTTATGAGACTCGTATCTCAATTCCAGAATGAGTCCCTCTTGGCAGTCCATGCAGAAGAATATTAAGCTAATGGATGAAGAGGTCTTCTTATGACTGTTCTTGGCTTTCGCTTTGCTAACTTCCTTGCTAGGAAAACCAATTGTAAGCTCACTGGGACGGTGACCCGTCCTTTTTGCTCCCCCAATAACTTTGGAAGTGTGGAAGACAGCCCAGAGCATGCAAGGAGGAGGAGAAGGAGCTGATCTCTGCATACGGTTCTTGCAGATCCATTACGGAGTCAGATTGTTGGGGGCCATGAAGCCAAGCCCCACTCCAGACCCTACATGGCTGCCTTGAAGTATCACAATGGGGATTTGGGCTGTGGCGGATTCCTGGTGGCGCCCCAGTGGGTAATGACGGCTGCGCACTGCAAAGGGTAAGTCTCACTAATCCCTCCTTGATTCTTAGCAGGGATGGCCATGGAATCAGAGAAGTGTACAGTTGGAAGGGACTGCAAGGGTCATCTGGTCAGCTAAAGCATCCAAGACAGATGACCACCTAACCATCAAGGTGCACAGCTGGTTGTATGGAGGGAGCCTGGTCTTTTGCACGGGGGCCAGGGGGGATTGAGTCCTAGGATCTCTGACACTAACTGATTCTCTGTTTCCAGCAACTATAGGG